CTCACCTGCACACACACACACACACACACACACACACACACACACACACACACACACACACACACACACACACACACACACACACACACACACCCTCTGCAATGACCAGGACACTGCACCAAGGTTATAACAGTTTTGGATTTGTTATTAGTTTTAGTTTTTTTCTAAATAAGGAAATTTGTTGATTGAAAAATTCAAAATCATCAGAACAAATATTGTTTGATAAAGTGGGCAGCACGATCACCTCACAGCAAGAAGGTCTCTGGTTTGAGTCTCGGCTGGGTCAGTTGGTGTTTCTGTGTGGAGTTTGCATGTTCTCCGCTTGTTGGCGTGGGTTTGCCCCGGGTGCTCCGGTTTCCCCACAGTCCAAACACATGCGCTATAGGGGAATTGGGTAGGCTAAAATTGTCTGTAGTGCGTGTATGAGTGTTTCCCAGTGATGGGTTGCAGCTGGAAGGGCATCCGCTGCGTAAAACATGTGCTGGGTAAGTTGGCAGTTCATTCTGCTGTGGCGACCCCTGATCTGTTTTGACACATGTATTCAGAGGACTCATGAACACCGCCATCTACCACTGCCAACTAACCCTCCTCTAACTGGAATACAACAGCAGTCTGGAGTAAAACGTGTGTGCAAGGCTGCTTTTGAGGTTAAATACACAGTAGTGATGGGATGTTCAGATCTTTAACACGAACCGGATCTTTTGAGCCATTCCTCCCATGTTGGCACTCAACAAACCAAAATGATGTATTCAGCAGTCATCACTGCAGCGAGAGAAACATCTGCCTGACCTGACGAGTGTCTCACAGTGGAGTTCTGCAGCCCGACTGCAGCAGCATTCACTCATTTAAATCTCATTATGACTTTCTGATGAAATGAGCGGAGTTTACAGTCGCAGCGGGCCGTCATGTGCTGTTTGTGTTCAGTTCACTAATCACACATGCGCAGTATTATCAGTTCACACAGAGATCTGGCCAATGGCAGCAGGATTAGAGACTCTGAGGTGCTGTACGGGTCACACACCTGCAGCGCGGAGTGAACAGACCCACTGCTGAAAGGCTAACAGTATTAATACACTTACAATGAGGGAAACGAAGGCCATTTCTGCTGGAATTGTACTTAGTTTCAGTTAGGTTCATATGAACACAACACAGTTTTAGTTAGTTCTAGCTTTTAAAAATCTCTCGTTTTCATTTTTATTACAGTTAACGGCAATTATTTAGCATTTTAGTTTCGTTTTTTCATTCGTTTTCGTTAACTATAATAACCTCGCACTACACTGTGTGCTTATAATGTTTTACAGGAAAGACCTCAACTCTGCTGTGAGATCAGTGTGTGTGTGTGTGTGTGTGTGTGTACCCGTCAGATCTTCATCACCGAACACATAGTCCAGCACAAAGGAGGCCATTTCTGCTCGGAGAGACTCGTCAGGACTGAAGCGCTGCAGCGGAGAGATGCTCCCCTCAGGGGGTCTGCAGAACACCAGCAGCAGGTCACACACACACACAAACGCCTGCACACACACAAACACACACAGAGAGAGAGAGACACACACACACACACACACACAGAAAACTTTACCAACCCTGATTCTGGAGCTCAAGCATCTGTGTGTGTGTGTGTGTGTGTGTGTGTGTGTGTACCTTGCTCCTGACAGGGCTCAGGGCGATGGACAGACAGCTTTGACACAGCACACAGAAGGAGTGCAAAGACTTTAACACACGCCGCGCTTCAGCCTGAGGAGACACACACACACACACACACACACACACACACACACACACACACACACACACACACAAACACACACAATTCAGCACAGTGCTCAGATGCATTATGACCAATCAGAACACACTCACACTTCATCACGGTGATGCTCTGATGCTGAATGAGCAGACCGAACACACACTCTCAATCACACGCACACACACCTTGTCCGTGCGGCGCTGTGTGTTCCTGTGCGCGCTCCACAGCAGCTGGTATGCGCAGCAGCTCAGAGCAGGAACCATCAGCTGCACAGAAACCAGGACACACTGAATAACACACACACACACACACACACACACACACCCACTACAGCTGTGTTACTAACAGTCACACACCGTCACACATCTAAACACCCCATCACACACACGTAAGCAGCAGCAGGGAGAGCCTCATCACACACACACACACACACACACACACACACATAGTTCTCCTCATGTTCATCTTCATCCTCCACACACTGATTTATTATTCACAGTTTGTGTTTTCAGTGAGGGTCAGAAGAGGACAGAACACACTGCACAGCGGAGACGCCATCGCCACCAACAACATATACAAGAGTGTGTGTGTGTGTGTGTGTGTGTGACCTTCTCGCTGATCTCTCCAGTCTCCACCCCCATCTTCAGCAGCTGAAAGCAGAACTCGAACAGGTTCCTCTCCGTCAGATCTCTGGCACTGATAAACACACACAGACACACGCTGTAGAGACACACTGTTCAACACACACACACACACACACACACACACACACACCTGCTGAAGATGGCCAGGATGTTCAGAGAGGAAGCAGCTCTATACAGATCATCTTCATCAGCCGAACCCTGAGACACACACACACACACACACACACACACACACCGTACAACAGATGTGCTTTTCCCCCAGCTGAATTAGACAAAACCTCATGTTTGTGTGTGTGTGTGTGTGTGTGTGTGTGTGTGTGTGTGTGTGTGTGTGTGTGTGTGTGTACCTGCAGGATCTCCTCCAGGTTGGCAGTGAACTTCTCCACAGTAGTGTCCAGCAGCTGACCCACTGCCGTCTCCGCTCGGCCACAGAAGGTGTAACCCTCACTACACAACACACACAACACGCGCACACACGCCTCCAACACACACTCCTCATGGTGCTTCAGTGTGATATCACACACTTGCGAAAGCAGCTGATCCAGGCTCTGAGAGAAAGAGAGACGGTGAGGAGTGTGTGTGTGTGTGTGTGTGTGTGTTTGTCCTCATGTCTGTTGCATCTGGCCTAATGCTGCACTTGAACACACACAGACACAAACACAGAAACACACACATACACACACCACCCCAACAGATGCTCACTGATGGCTCAATGCTGCACAACCGTCAGCTGCATGTGTGTGTTTCTGTCTGAGTGTGTGTGTGTGTGTGTGTGTGTGTGTGTGCATGAGTGTCCAGCACTGATAGAGAGGACAGCAGCTGTACAGTGCTGCAGGAGAGATGGTGTGTAGTAATAGTGTGTGTGTATCAAACAGGTGTGTGTGTATCAAACAGGTGTGTGTGTATGAGACTTGGACCTTCTCCAGGCGTCCCGAAGTGCCGTAAACTTCCAGCTGGAAGTGCAGCGGTGCTCTGAGCAGACGACTCACCTTGCCCACATCTGCCGAAAACTGAGGAAACACACACACACACACACACTCCA